TAAAAAGTCCATCACCGATATATTGAAGGCAAGTGAAGTTAACAATTTCTTAACAACAATATTTGAAAGGGAAAAAGACGTACCTATAACCAGCTATCACCTAAATTCTGACGAAGTCGCTATCAGGAAATAAACTGCTGTTATGTTTGAAAATCTATAACAAAGGTATTTTTTTTTTGTTAGTTTTTTTTGGCGTGAGCACTTTTTTGTCGTTTAGTTTACAAGACCTTAGTATAATTTTTAACTATACATTATTTAATTAAGTATTGTTAATGTGAAGTTAGATTCAACAGTTTTTTTATATAACCCTTATAAAATTTTACACGTGGATAAGGTAAAAAGGATCATCTAAACCTTTTTACCTTGGCAAAAGCGCAAACAATAAAAAATAGTACATATAAATGTAAATTTAGTTAAAAGAAGTAATTTTACAAGAAATAAATTAAATTAATAGTTATTCCAACCCTACTGATGAATATTTTTGACGAAATATCAGATCAAGGTTATATACAGTGTAAAAAACTGTTCCTATGAAATTTATATTTTGCATTGGTTGAATAAAGTAAACTATTATTTCATAAAATCCTTTTAATATCAGACATTGGACCTATTGCCCCATAGCCGTCCCATTTCACCCGCTTATGCGGTTTATTTTTGATAAACAGCAAAAAAAACTAATTTTTACAATGATGAATTAGCTGAAAGTTTTACTGAATATAGTCAGACAGTTGTTTGTTTGATATGTGTTATTTGTTGAAATATAATTGGTTCGGTTTTCACAATATAAATGGTCAAAGTCAAATTGGACCTTTGACCCCGGCTTTCCTATCTCAAATTTTGCACTCAAACGAATCATAGGTTGTTTGTTCTCTATATTTCTGATTTTACTTCTAACTTTTGATTTGGTCTATTATTCATGTAATTATTACTATATGCAAACCAATGACAAATGATTGCGATGTGTACAATGTTCTTATAAAACTACATAATTATGTATTGATATTACATATATTATATCATTAGACCAAATATTACATACAAAATATTTATTCCGTGATACCTTTTTGATGATTAACAGTATTAAGTAGTAAAAAAATTGAAATTATATTTTTTTACATTCTTATTTACCTTATATCTTTCAACAAACAACTTAACTGAAATGGTTATAACAGTCTTTTGATTAAAAAACATGTCAAAGAATTTTCAATCATATAATTAATGATTTGTTTTCAATTCATCAAGAAAATTATCTGTTCAACGCACAAAACTAATAATTAATTTCATTCAGCTACAAAAATGTGTCAAATTCTTTGAGCGTGTCGTTTTGGATATTTCGATACTATTAATTAATTTTTGACATGCTGCGAGATAAGATTTTTCCAAAAATAGATACGCGTTAGAGTTGTTGACATTTATAATATATAATATTCTGAGGAAGAATGTAAGAATTTGAAAGCTCTTTTGAAGTTTGAAAAGAAGGATTTAAAGTATTTTGTACTTGGGAATGTGGGTAAAGCATTAAAAACTTCTGCTTGACTAATGTTTCATGTTCCTTTTGTTAAAAGCACCATATTAATTAAGTATGTACGATTTTTTATTAAAAGTTGCCGCAGGAATACTAATAATAAAAAAGCCAAATATGTAATATTTATGCCGCTCCGTTGGCAAAATATGTAATAATTCCGCAATTAGCGAGTGGAAAGGGTTAATGTGTAGTTAATAATATGTAGTTTTGCATCTTAATACATGTTAATGCAATCTTATACATAATTAATACGATCATCGACGCGCATCGCACAGTCGATGAGCGATAAGTTTTTTTTCTGAATAAGGTTAAGTTTTAACCCACAATTAGTTCAATGGCATTTCAGGCAAGTTGGATATACAGTTAACCCCCGCATAACAAGGTACTTCTTTAATACGGATTCGCTTTAATACGGTTTAAGAATTGATACCATCCCCCTCATAACAGGGTACTTTTAAAGCACGGATTTGCTCTAACACGGTTTAAGAGTTGGGCAAAACCTCAATAAAATAAAAAATATAATAAAATTTATGAAAATAAAACTTAATTTCATCAAAAATTAGTAAAATCGCAGTACAATAGCTCAATAAATGTGATAAACTAAAGCAAAAGATAACTAATTTGATACATATTTTTAACAAAGATAATTTTACATGTAATAAATACATAAATATCTTTTTGCTAAGTAATCGCAAATATAATTATTTTTGAAAAAAATAATGCACGGATCTGGAGGTAGTTCAAAAAGCAACTCAGAGGATGAGGATATCTTGCAAAAAAGAATGGTGTTGGATAGCGCTTATCGTGTAATTATGACGAAAAAATCATATAATTGATGTAATGTATATTACATTTTTAAAAAAATAATAAATATAACAATATTTATTATAAAATCATAATATGTAGCATGTTTTTTTTAAATTCTATGAACGCAACCTTTTTTTGTACTAGTTTCTTGTCCCGTATAACACGGATACGCATACCGCGCTACTTTTTGGAACGTAACTATCGTATTATGCAGGGGTTAGCTGTATATGATAATTAAAACTAATATGGCTTACTCACCTTGTAAAATTTCTCTGGTCAGCGTAGACTGTTGCAAAGAACGCAAATGTTTTTGATAAAGTCTTTTCTGCGCCAGAAGGGCTTCCAACGATTGGGCACGCGATACCGGATCCTGGTGACTTCCATTCTGTTCCTCCGATGACTGTTGTCTTCTTAGTGCGACCTGAAATATAAATTTAAATTTATTGAAATGTACTTTGTATGTTTGACTGATTTATGAACAATATATATTGAATAATATTTTATTAAATTCTGAATATATAATCGTCACCTGTGCGGCCATAACTCGTTGTCTTTCTACGACCAATTGGCAATTTGGGCAACGACAATCGCGCCAGCGGCACAGTTTCTTGTGTCCTTTCAGGCAAGATATGACGCCGTGGTTTCGGCACCGGGCACATTTAGGGGTTCGCAGCAAGCGCTTTTGCTGCAAATGTGGACTTTCTGCTTCGGCACTATTCGACGGTGACTGCCGACTGACAGATAAATCTTTGCCGCTCATTCTGTTCGAAATTCATTTTTGAATCAACAAAGATTTTCAAAATGCGTAAAATAGTAATTTTTATAATAATAGAAACAAAAATGTTAGATATAACTCCTCTCTGAAGCGAAATCATATGATAAGACCTAATACCTAATATCTTTTTTCCCGCACGTTTTTTAAGTACGGGACGTTTTACTAACGCATACAATTCAAAGAAAGCACTTTAAAATAATATATGTAATAATAAATATAATAATATAATAATAATAAATATAATGTACTAGCACGTAGCACTAAAACTGTAAGTAATTTTGGAATAATTAGGGACTTTAGTTGTATTTATGTTTGGCCAATTTTTTGAGAACACAAACTATTTGACGCATTGGAGGCAAAGTCGGAGGTATACTTCACAATATTTTCCGGTTTTCATATAGGGTAGAGCGATGCATTGAGGTCTGCGGATAAAAAGGTTCACCACCGATATCTCAAAAACGAGTAAGGAATTATTAAAAGTTAGGAATTCCTTAACAACAATATTTGAAAGTAGAGGAAAAAATGTATAACCAGTTATCGCCTTAATTCGTACGACGTTGTTAACGGGAGATAACAAAATTATTTTCTTTCGTTGGTTGTGAGCCATAGATAATTACAATTTATAGATAATTACAATTTATTTATTATTACTTATGATAAGTTTACGTTATTATGTGTTTTATAAGATGTATTGTTAATTTTAATTTAGATTTAACAGTTTTTTTATATAACCTTTATAAAAGCTTACACGTGGGTGGGGTAAAAAGCACCAACTGAATCTTTGCTCTGGCAAAGGTATAAACAATAAAAAATTGTTAATAAAAAAGTAAAATAAGTTAAGAAAATCAATTTTACAAGAGTTAAGTTAAATAAATATTTATTCCAACCCTGCTGATGATTTTTTTTATGAAATACCTCATCAAGGTTATATATAGTATTATCTCTGAAAAATGTACACGTGAAATTTATATTTTGCATTGGTTGAATATGGTAGCTATTATTTCCTAAAAAAATTTTAAAATTAAAAGTGAACATTGTACCTTGTTTTTCCGTGGCCGTCTCATTTTACTCCGCATATGGGGTAAAAAGGACCAGGTTACAAATTTTTGAAACACAGCAAAAATATTTCTAAAATGATGATTTAGCTGGAATTTTTACTTAACATAATCAGATAGTTGTTTGTTTGATATGTGTTATTTATCTTGATATAATTGGTATGGTTTTTCACAATAGACTTGCTCAAAGTCAAATTGCAATTTTGTGCCCCGCCCTACCTTATTTCAAAACTAAATTTGTATATTTCTAATTATACCAGGTTTCAAAGAACTTCAAATGTTCTAAAATGTGGGGACTATACTAACAATAAATATAATACAAGCATTAACCATATTCATATATGAAATTAATTATTCGTATTATCACAATTAATTAGAGTTTTTATAATCTAAATGTAATGCAATTAATATTAAACGTAAATATGATAACTATCAATTCGATTTACAAAATTAGAAAGTGGACTACATTATTTGTATATATTTTATGAATGAAAAAACTGCACCTAGTCAAGTTACGATATGCCTCACCAAAACTACAAAGTAGTAAATTCTCATTTCTGAATTTCATTCATAAATCTGTTTCCGAATTGCAAACGATATTTGCTCAGTTTTAGATTTCAATGGGACCTAACGGTTGCTATAATTTTTTTCAAGTTTTGAGTTTCATGTTCTGAAAACAAAGATGACCCCAATATTTTACTTCCGGTTTTTGTGTCTTTTTTATATATGTTTGACCATTTCTTTGATATATTAGTCTCATATGTTTACTAGACACATCATTCGAAAAAAAAATCACATACTTTGTAATGATCTTATTTTCAAATGATATATGTACGCATATATTTATAAAATTTTATTAATTACTTATTATTAATAATTATTTATTTCAATACCAAATACCAATAAATTTATTTATTGAAAATTAATATTTGATATTGTTAACTTTTATCTTGAACGTTGCTGTTTCTTATAATATTAATAATATTATAGTTTGGACAAAGTTCGCATAATAAAAATAAATTAAAATTAAATTAAAAAATCATTATAACTTGTATATATATAGTTTATTTATATAGTATATATATATATATATATATATATATATATAGTTTTAATTTTTTCTAATACTTTCATCTAACTGACAAATAGTTAAAAGGTAATTTTTAGAAGATAGTTCATAAAAACAAATAGTGCGACAAATTATTTTAATTGAGGTCTATTGATATATTTGACTTAGTTGTAAGCTTTTCATAGCAATAATTTCATTTGATTTTTTTTCTTACTAAAGTTATTTTTTATTACTTATTCGGCATTGTTAATTGACATAATTTGTTTAGATTATGTGAGTAGTTTTAATTTGAAACTTCGAAGACACGCATCCTTAGTCGGACTTGTGCAAAATTCCGTACTCGTATTTATAGATTTTTTTAATAAATACAAAATTATAATAGGCAGAAACATTATTTTTTTTAAATTTTTGGGCGAAAGACTAAATACCAAGCGGGTATAATCAATAATCTTGTGCTGTAATTGAACTATACTATAGAACCTTGTACTATAGAAATATTTAGGCTGTTTTATAGTTTGAGGTCTAAAAAAAGGTCATATCTCCTGAATTGATGTCTCTTGAATTAAAGCGTTAAATTATTGAACAATATAAGGATGATGAAGATATACGAGCGTACACATCATAGATATGTACTGTATTTAAACCGAAGGAGTTGATGTAAAGGGCATAAATTCAATTATAGGCCTTATAATAATTTATAAGGAGCTTTAAAGGATTGTGAATAAAAATCACTCCGAAAAAGTTGCAACAGTTTGAGCATGGGGGGTTGTTCAACGAAACATGTCTAACTCATTTCTGCACTACAGGAAAAAACAATAATTAAATTTGATATGGTAAATTTATTTTTAATATTCAAAAAAATTATAAACATAAAACCACAGTGCTGGGACGAATTAATGGTATTTCAATGTATTTATATAGGAAAAATTGCGTCGACTATAGGTGGTACGACTATAGTGGTTCCGAAAGTACACTTTTAAAAACGTAAAAATACCCAACAAAAAAAATGAATTTCAGTAATTTCGGTAATTATCAGGCAAGAGATTCGTTAAGTGACAGATTCCCTTTTAATTTAATTGCACTAATTATTATTAGTTATTATTTCCTGAGGTAAATTAATAACTATAATAAAAGATTAATATGTCTATAATTTATGATTTGTAATGCCTATATAACAATATACTTATAGAAATATGATAATATATAATTTGTGATTAGCGTTTATCTATTAATACATAATATATATATATATATATTAGGGTGGTCCTTAAAATGGTCATTGTCGAATTTCCTTGCTCCCAGGGGCTCAAATGGTTCCAAATTGATAAAAAACAATTCTCTGAAAGTTTTAGCTCTTAATATTAACGTTTAGATAGAGCGCAATTCAATCAAAGTTTGTATGGAAATAGCATGAAAAAATTTTCAAAAATTTAAAAAATGTTTTTTAAATGTAATTTAGCGAACAAATGAATGAATAAAACTCATTCATTTGTCGCTAAGTTATACTTAAAACATTTTTTTTTAATTTTCAAAAATTTTTCCATGCTCTTTCCATACAAACTTTGATTGAATTGCGCTCTATCTAAACGTTAATATTAAGAGCTAAAACTTTCAGAGAATTGTTTTTTATCAATTTGGAACCATTTGAGCCCCTGGGAGCAAGGAAATTCGACAATGACCATTTTAAGGACCACCCTAATATATATATATATATATATATATATAATAAATATTTGGTATAATAATAATTTGCATTATCTTACCTTTGAACTGTTAATAATCCCACAAATAAAATACAACACTTGTTATAGTTTATCAATAATTCACATAAGAAACTTGACCTATCGGAAGGCGATAGCTTAGCTTAGGAAAGTGAATGATTAACTAACTAATGTCTCAAGAGATAAATAATGTGTCCTGAAAATAATTCCCAAAGGCGTGGCCTCCTTTCAAGCTTAGCCTATGGCACGAAGATGCTTCGAATTCAGTTTATTGTCATTGGCTACTTTGGCGCATTTCCACCATAGAGACGCCCAGGTTTCTCGCTGTTTTTAAAAATTTCATTCTGACGAGAACGACTTTTATATTTCACAGATTTGTTTATTTGTTGACTATATTTATATTTTTCTAATTTCACTTTTTTACAAACACGATTTTTTATATCCTTACACTTCAAGATTTTCACCATATTGACATTCTGTAGAAAAATTGATGTGTGTGGACACATTTTCCGGATAATTGTTGAATGAATTGTGGTGTTTTAAAATGATACGATTCATAATGTCAATTCGTAGACACAAATGTTCTGAAAAGCCGTAAATACTAAAATGCCTAAATATAATTATTTGACAACAAATTGTCAACTTTCTTTAATAAGATGCTTACAATCTTTACTAAATTACAATGTCAATATATGAAAATTCACAAAATACTAATGAAAATTATTCGTTATAATAATTGATTTATACGCTAATTTATATGGTATTTAAATGATTTATATGCCTTTTTATAGGTTTTTCCGAAAAAATGCGATATAACGAATTTAAAGTTCCTACATTATTACGGCGACCATTATCTTCGAAAAATTGTGAAAGACATATTTTTTTAAGCTCCTTTTTTGACGTAACTATAAACGACATCGGCCGCTACAATTTCAATAATTTTAAAATAAAAAAAAAAAATGAAAAAAAAACCAAAGTCAGATATTTTTAGAATGTTAAAATTACCATGATACTAGCAGATTAGTTCATTCGCAAATTTCGGGGCTTTGATTTAAAATATAGCATTTTTTTATTTTTTTGTTTTTTTTTTATTTTAGCTGAACCGCCAAATCGATTACATAATGTTAATCTTCTTTCTCA